TGATTTTATTGTGTTTTTAAAACGTTTCTGGATAAGTATGACGTCTATTTGATTTCTACTTCTATCGCCTGGACTCTTCCAAGTGTATCCTCTTCTTGGGTCATCCCCTGTATCAGTAGAAATAACATGGAAGTAACAAGTTGTCAAATTTCACCCAAAAAAAGAAATAAAAATTGTTACCTTTGATATTCAGTTCACTTGTTAATTCTTCCCAGAGTGTGGTAATAACACCTCTGTTACTGTAGCGCCGATCTGTTTTATCATACAAAGCAGGCCTTGCTCTGTTTCACTCGATCAAATCTTCGTCCTTGTCTGCAGCAACAAATGGATACCGGCCTAGAACAATAGATCACATTGTCTGCAGCAACAAATGGATACCGGCCTAGAACAATAGATCACACTACACACCTGGTCTAGACCTAGGAGGCACAGCCCGCATAGCGCATGCTCTGTTTGGCGATGACGGGATCAGGGTCGGTGAAGCCATAGGACGTTCGGAAAATGTTTGATAAAATCTTGTAATATTATGCTAGACGTCATACGTTGTTTATGTAAGCGCGAGGAAGCGTGTCGACCGCAGTGGGCCAAGGTATTATAAATTAAAAGGTTGAACGCTTCTATGCCCACTTTGTGAGTACGTAAGAGTACGAAAGAGGAGTATGTGGACCTTGGCTCTAACCCAAAGTCTAGTATCCTCGTATCTTGTCGACAGATTCAGATAACATATAAATTTGTGCCCTTGCCGGTCAATATCAGTTATATGAAGGAAATTTCAAAACTGAGTTAACATAATTATCAAAAACTATCACCTTTCCCTACAATTTAAAACAAGAATGAAGTAAATATGACAATATTTGACGAAAATACAGAACTTTTAATTGTGCTAGATGAGTAAACATGAAAAGGAGAAAATGGCCTCCGAAGTTGAGCAACATGTTCCCATAGCAATGGGGGTATTAGAATTGAGATAGAGACTTGAAATTTAGCAGTTATCTTGGCTATGCCACTACAAGGTAATATACAAAAGTAGAAAACTATTCATTCTCAGAGCAAAAAAAAAAAACGTATGGACAAAACAAAATTTTCACGAGAATGGACTTCACACCAAATGCAACAAAATATTAGGTACCAGACTCTAAATTTTCAGAGTGGCTGTATGTCAAATTCATCTGTTTCATATGATAAGGCTCTGTCTCCTGAGAATTTTGGTGCCATACTTTTACCTATCAGTGAATGTTTAAGATAATGGCAGCTGTATCAATTTAACATAATAATAAAATTTTGCTAAGTCGTTAACTGGCTGCAACCCCAAGTTTGACAGATAGTAAAAGAATACCAAGTGCACCAAACATCTCTGCATTAAAAGAGTACAACCACTATAACATAGAAAATGAGCCTGATAATTGTCAAAACTGCGAGATCATTACAAATAAGTATTTTATTGCCTCAAACACGATGATCTGTCATTATTTTCAATAAAAACACCGAGCGTTGTCTCGGCGACGTGGCGGCGAGCGAGCCGGCTCAATACTGTAGTATACTGAAAGCTCCCGGCAGAAGGATTCATGCAAAATAATTCCAAGCCGATGACTTTATTCTAATTGGAAAAAAAAACAACTGTTCTTTCTATTGGCACCTTTTTTTAGCCGGTATTTTACACATTTCGTTTTAAAAATGGTCTTTGAAAACTTAGACCTTTTTTTAAAAAGCGTTTCTATCTAAACGCTAAAGGCCAAAAATAATAACCACGGGAAGCCACGCTCAAAGCCGTATAGTTCTCCGCCAATGAAAAGACGGTATTTAATCATCAGTCTTTCTGCAAAGCATTCGAATGCATGGGTGTCAATTTTGGACCGGGGGGCCTCGCATTCCCACCTCGAGGGGCTTCCCTTTCCACGGCGATTCTCCAGCTCCAAATACCCGGACATACAAAAAACTTACACTATTATAACGAACAAAATCTGAACTCTTTCAAAGTGTTCAGCATTGAGCATTGGTGTTTTGTAGAAAAATAGCAAAGAAACAGAGATCTGAATTACCCCCATTTCACCGAAACCACGTGCTCGGGAGGCCGCTAGTCAGCTTACGTGCCATGTTTACGCCACCGGATGAAGAACGTTGGGGTAAAGATTTACCACTAGTGGAGAATCTTTGGTGGAAGCAAAGGTGGCCATGAGGTAATGGTTCTAAAAATAATCTCACAGATAACACTAGCAAGGTCCAAATTCCTTTATCTCGTCTCCCAAACTCACAACAAACCAAAATCAAATCTAAATAAAATATTTATAGTCGATTATAGTTGTTTAGTTTTATCTTAAATGAAGCAGAAGACGTAATAATATCAAACTTTCAATATATCCAAAAAACAAAAATTTCTTGAAAAGTCACGTTTTTTTCTTTCGAGCCTCGTTGCTTATAATAGCATAGTGCGTCTTACGGCTGATATTGAGCGGAGCAGACAGAATTATGTTACATTTTTTCTTTTGGGACTTGTGAGAATATAGCAGATAGATCTACCTCGACCTAACTCGTTGGCTTTTGTTCAGACCGCTAAAGCTTATGATGGGGCTTATGATGCTCCCCCTCCCTCGACCGAAAAGAAATCGTGTTGACAGGGATTCAGTACCCATCTAGTTCTTCTCTTCTGAAAGGAAAAGTGAAGTGAAGTGTAATATTTCCCTTTAAACCTACGTTTTAGCACAGTGGCGTACTGGACCTTGCTGTAGACTAAACACTACAGAGAATTAACAGCAACAGTGAAAGGAAGGCTAGTTTTACCTCAAACTATTTTTGAGTTTGTGTGTTACAATAGCACAAAATATTAACTTACACATGTTTCCATTTAGTTTTAGTAGAGGTTTTCGGCGCTCGCAACTGCATAAGGTCATATGAGCGCCAGGAGATTAGAGGTGTTACTCGAGAGTAACAAACATAAAAAAGAAGAAGGGGAGATAAGGACGATAGATGTTTGATAGGAAAGAAGAAGCAAACCACCCCAGAGCACCCGCCAACCGCCCACCATGTTTCCATTGCTCATGCATATCTGATGCGAATAGGACAATCAACATAGCACTTTAAAAAGGGAAACGAGACCGAAAAAAAAGAAAGTATCATTGTGGTTGGTCTATTATATTGTTTTATGTAATACTGATACAACCTCCGTCTTATATAATGCACTCATTTTATTGTCATTGTAACTCACCCGTTCCTAGTTCGCGGTTAACTAAAAGTAGTAGGCTTGCCTCATTTTGATTGTAGTTTATTCATGCGTAGAGAACTAGTCTTTCTCCTCCATGAACAATGTACTTGTTACTGGACGATATGTTAAATTTATTATACTTGTACGTAAATTGTATGAAACTGAAAATCGAAAAGTAGGCTATGACTTTTTTTAAAAAATGCATCAAAATCTTTACTAGCGTGTGACTTGTTTTAACTAGATCTACGCCACTATTCTTCTTCTCTTTGTACACCAATAGATTCAGTGTTGAATTCAGACCCCATGTCAGACATACGTGCATAACAACTGAGTGGCAAGGTCAATAATAAAAACGTACCGCATTATTCAGTCGCTTTTCTGGGGGTAGGAGGTCTTTTCTTTTCTTTTCTTTTGTGTCTCTCTGTGTGTGTGTGGGGGGGGGGGGGGGGGGGGGGGGGGTCATTTCCCGGGGCAGGAGGGGGTAGGGTGTGAATGGGCACAAGGTTATAGACGTCGAAAGATCTTGTAATAATTTGTTAGGGATTGAGCGCTCGGCTGCGTGTCGTGTGTGCTTCCCTGGAGACGCACTGTTTCTGACTGCTCTGGAGCCTGCTGAAGGTAATAATAGTTGTAAAGGTAATCTTGCTGTAGAACATGAGCGAGCATGCGCTATTATTATTCTTACTCTTATTCTTATTCTTCTTATTCTTCTTCTTATTATGATTATTATGATTATTATAATTATTATGATTATTATGATTATTATTATGATTATTATTGTTATTATTATTATTATTATTATTATTATTATTATTATTATCATTATTATTATTGTTGTTGTTGCCTAACCATCAAAACAAAGATCAAGATTTACGAAGTAGGCAACTTCAGCACACTCCTTTATGTACCTGAAACATGGACCTTGTACAGCAGGCAAGAAAAGCGCCTCGGCATTTTCTATCTCAGATTCTGCCGCAAGATCTTAGACATTTCGTGGCGTGACAAGGTTACTTATGTTGAAGTGCTGGCCCTGGCAAACCTCCAGACCATAACAAGTATCCTGTGTTTAAGAAGATGGAGATCGCTGGGCCATGTCAAGAGAATGGACGACAACCGGGTTCCGAAGCAACTTCTCTATGGAGAACTTGCTCAGGGAAAGAGACCAAGTGGAAGGCCAAAATTGAAGTACCATGACTCCTACAAAAACAGCTTATTATGTAAGCTTGGAGTAGATGTCAGCATCTGGAAAGAAATGGAAGTATGGAAGTTGTTAGGGGACACTGCAGTCACCTGGCGCTGCTTTGTGCACTGGGGGACTGCCATAGATTTACACTATAGGTTTAAATAGGAAATAATTCTATGGGGACTGCAAAGAACCCCCCCCCCCAAGCAGTCGACGATGAAACCAACCTCGCGTTGCCAAGTGACGTCGGCAAAGCTGGCCCGCCACGGCGTGGAACAAAAGCCCAAAGAAGGATTGCAATATCTTGGAAGTAGAGAATCTTTGGTAATGCTAATACTAGACCTACTACTAGATCTAGATCTAATCTGGGCCTCCTATATATTATAGGCACAGACTGCAAATCTTTAATTGAAGAAGAGTAGACCAACAATGTATCTAGTGTAGTCTACAGTCTATGTCATAAGTACTACTGGATCCAAATCTAATATAGGTCTAGAATCTAGATAGATCAACAAACCTGTTGCCAGGATCGGTGTAAGTGGAGCAGGAAGAATCCTAACATTTGCAGATGATGTGATGGTCTACGGACAAGGTCGTGATAGGCTAGCGGTAGGACGGATGCTACAGGACAGGCTGTGCAAGGTCGCAGATTGGTGTGAGGAATACAAGGTGGTCATCAATCCAGACAAAGCACAGGTCATCTGGTGCTCACTCAACAACCGTATTGTGAAAGATTCTACCCCTGAAATTGTGTTTGACCACGTTCTCATAGACAGACAGCATGAGCTGAAGTACCTGGGAATCACTCTGGACAGGACACTTTCGTTCCGAAGACATATTGACAATGTTGCTGTCAGGGCTCAGAAAGGCATCAATGTAGTGAAGACCTTGGCTTCAGCGGGAATTCAACAGATAGTTTTTTTTTCTCCTAATGCAGCTGGTGGTTCTGTCAGTCATAGACTATGGGCTGGGCATCCTCTCCCTGTCCAAGACTCAGATAGACAGGTTGGAGAGAGTAAAGAATGCAGCTATGAGGGCCGTTCTAGGTTGCACAAAGGACACCCATGTTGTCTGTATGAGATACACCCTTGACCTGGCCAGCATCAGAGTGAGGCATAAGGTGGCACAGGCAAAGCTGTACTTGAATGTTTTGGGAGACCCGAGGCACCCTTTGCATGAAAACCAGGGCAGCATCAAAGGAAACAGGATCAAACGGGGCAGCTCATGGTTGGCAGAAGCAGAAGACTCCTTGAGGAAAGTTTGTGGCATCGATGAAATATGCTGTGGAAAGGAGTGGTTTGAACTGAGCTCCGATTGCAGAAGCCTGGCCAACGTTCACATCACTATGGGTTGAGAAAGACGGGAATGTGCTGCTGTCATTAACGACAATGATATACGACAGTTAATTTGAGGAGCATTCCAAGCAAGAGGACCCAGTGATCTATACGGATGGATCAGTCAGGAGGGGTGAGAGAAGTGGATGGGGTTTTGTGGTGTACAGTGGGAACAAAAAGGTTCTTGGCATGTCAGGGCATGAAAATGGAGATTGAGGCCGTAACAAGAGCGCTTGGGTGGCTTCATAATACAAGACCAAGAACTACTCATCTCATCATTGTCACAGACTCCCAGAGCATCTTGCGAAGGGTTGAGAAAGGGCTTCTTCGGAATGAATGGTTGAACCCCATACAACACTCATCACTTAGAACCATCACGTGGATATTCTGTCCTGGGCACTCTGGAGTGAAAGGCTATGAGGAGGCTGATAGGCTGGCAAGCAGTGCCGTGGTTGATGGTGAGGTGAAATTTGACAAAGGAGAAGTGTTGAAGAGCCTGGAGAAAAAGTTGCGGGATGAAGAAGACAGGTAGACAGCAGAACACCACGCAATCATTAGGATACGGGAAATGGGGATAGAGAGGGGAGAAGGAAGAAAGGAACGATTGTCTGGAAAGGAAAGACGTCGCCATAATCAGACAGCCACCGGAACAATCAGTATGAATATCTTGCGGGCTTTGGTGCTGGGGGGAACTGAGCACTTATGGACCTGTCCGGTGCGCAATGACGTTGTTGCCCAGGACAGGTAATACAGGTAATACCTGTCGACATAAATGATAAATTCGCCTTAAGTAAACAGAGTAAGGCTCTAGATCTAGATTCTCCCACCATACTAATTAACTTAACTAGATATCTAGATTTAATGTATCAGTATGATCTAGATCTAGATCTCTCTGATGGGGTGATGATGGCTTATTGACTTCGATCCAAAGGTCAAAGGTTGTTTCTTTGCAGTCCCCCAGTGCACAAAGCAGCGCTAGGGGACTGCACAGTCCCCTAATAACTTTTTTTATGTTACAGATTTTTTAAAGTGTCACATGTCTTCAATCGCGTAGTAAAATAGAAAAATGGCTCATATATATTCTATTTTCAGTATAGATCTATTGGTTTGAGTAACGCAAAAAAGCTGTTGTAATGTCTCTTCCCTTTTTTATTTTTGGCAGTGACAATTTGGGCCTATCTATTACTAGCAAATCATATGAACGGCTTAACCTAACCCTATCCCCTAAAGCTAAGTTTAAGACGAAATGAATGGCTGAGCCTAACCTAACCCCTTGGCTAGAGCTACGACTAAAATGAAGGGCTAGCTCTAATCCTATGAAAGAAAAATTGGCACAATAGTCACTCCGGGTTTAAAAAAAAAAATAGAGAGCCTTCAGTAAGGTTCTGAGTTAAGGTTGACTAGCAGCTAGATCTATTTAATTTCACAATAGGCAGGTAATTTCTTTTTCAAACAGTATGCTTCTTTATGTTACACGTTCAACATAACACTTGCTACTCTGTTCGTCACAAGATGAAAAAACCTGTTCTTTTCCCGCACCAGTGATGTCACCCCCGGGGCGGTGCTGCTACTGACTGAAGTGTCTTTAGGCCATTCCCAAAGGGGGGACATTACCATGCTCTGCTGCACAGTACAATTGTAAATGGACTGATTCATTGATATCATGCTCATAAATGTGCCGGAATTGCGACAGGGAACTGCTCATTTTTCTTTCCTCATCCTTACTATCGTCATTTTTCCTCTACTTCTTTTGTATGTTTGTCACTTTCTTGTGACCCGCTATTTCCGGGATGCCTCGATAGTCGAAGCAGACTTTGTGCTGATGAAGCTAGAGAGGTGAGCTGAGTAAGCCCGATTCCCTGTAAGGACTTCTGTGTTGACATCCACCCCATAAGTTGTGAGCGCCGTAAAATCTCTACTAAAACAAAAAGCATCATTGATGTAGACAAGTCGGGGATCAGTTTCAGTTGCCACAAGTAAGTCTAACTGAATGTTGCCCAAAAACACCTTAGTAAAGGCTTTTGTTTCAGTTATCACTACATTGTGTTGAAAGACAATTGACCAGGCTACAAAACAAAATTGAGTTCACTTTTTTATCTTCAGTGAGTCCAGAGTTGTCACAGTTGTTTTACTAGGCTATGTCCAAAAGTAGATTTACTTAAAACAGCAATAGAAGCTAGGAGCTTTAGTTTAAGTGCTGTAAATGGTCTACTTTTGTTCATAAATTCAATATGTACCAAAGTTTAATAACAACATAGAAAACACTACTTATTTTGTATAGTTCCAACAAAAAAGTGAACGCAAGTATGAAAAATACAGTTCCTAGTACACATGTCACAAGGGAAAATTTAACTCGTTTTTTAAAAATTACTAGTAATGTATTCATCATTTGTTTGGCTCAATTTGTTTTATCAAGAGCTTCATTGCCTTCCTACCCCTAATAGCATAGAAACTCTGTATTTTTTTGGTATGGCTGTTCTTGATTTAATAGAATTCCAAACTCATAAATTGGGGGCGGGGGTGAGGGGTAGGGGTTTAATTGGGATTCGGGAAGGGAGAGGGGGTGGGGTGGTAGGGATGTTGCCATGACACCCACATCTTTTCACACTTTTTCTTTAAAGTTCTATAGGCCCTGTGCGCTTTAATTCAGTCAATAAGAAATTAAACCATCTCGTAGATAAAGTGCTGATGAAGAAATAACGTTGTTTTGTTGTTATTGTTGTTTGTTTTAAAGCCTATCTATCTCTATCTATTTAATAGAACATTTATTTGTATATCTAGTTACAGAAAGTACGCTGTATTATTGCTTTCTAGTAATCTAGATATCATAGTACGCCAAGGTGCCTACGTAAAAAACAACAACCCAACAAGGGCCAAGCCTTGCCTAATGCCTGTGAGAGAGAAAACATGCCTTGCCCATTGCTTCAGTGTGAACTCCTTCATACAGCTTGCCAACAAGAACATGGCGGACGCAGCTGTCGAATATGGCCATCGCGCCGCAAGACGAGAGAGGGGCGTACAGTATCTAGTTCCTAGTAGTGTAAATCTATGGTGCCGCAAGAAAATACGTGGTAACATTCGAAAAATGGCTTTCTTTACATCAATGAATTTTCCATCCGTAAAGTTCTGTGTGTACGAAGCATTTAAAGAGATAGTTCAAGGGATATGCTCCGGTCAGCCATTTTATTTGTTGCGTTATGTTAAAAATTGTATGTAAGAGTTGAATTTTTTGTTCAGGGAAAGGTGCTTATGACAAGCACTGGAATCGGAGCTTCGACTGGCGCAAGATCAGTTGTTGACGGGACAGTTCGGAAAACCGAACTCACTTGTGCGTATGACTTGTCTGCCATACCCTATCCAATGATAAATGGTGGATAATTTTCGTCAATAATTAATAACTCATACTGTTCTAATTTAGTTTAGTAAGAGTTTTACGGCGCTCCTATCTGCATAATGTCATACGAGCGCGCGAAACACACGTTGGTTGCATTCACAACAGTTCACAGCGCGATATGATTTATGGACAATGATCAGATTGAAATGTAAAGAATTCCTGGTAAAAGTCTCCGTTTAAAAATGACATTTTAAATAATATTGAAATAACAGTATTTACGATTGATTGTAAAGGCCGGCCTTTATAGAATCAAGAATTCTGTTGAAATCAACGACGGAGAACAGTTCTTACAATTTTGTACATTTGAAATATTTCCTTCGGGTCTCTCTCAAGTCCGGACATTCTGTAAGTCTAATGGTGAAATCTGTGTTGCCACACAGAACGGTTTCTCATCTCCCTGCAGGAGGTATTCATGTGTCAGTTAGGTGTGTCTGATACGCAATCGAGTAAAAATGACTTCGTCTCTTCTGGAGAGACCCCAAGGTTTTCATGGACCCAGTTCGGACATGATGTTGTAGAGTGGTAATGCTACCGGACTCGTTATTGTGAGGTTGCGGGTCCGGGGATTCGAGCCGCAGGCACAAAGTTGTGTCATTGGGAAAGGCACTTTACACGAATGTTCCTCACTTGAACCAGTTGGGAATGAGTACAAGGCCATAGACAGCGAAAGATCTTGTCAGTATGTTAGTGTTTTAAAGCCAATAAATGGTCGCTTGCACTGTATGCTTCCCAGGGAGTTGAGATTGTTTCAGAATGCTCTCAGGCCTGCTGGGATAATAGTATATATTGTGAAGAGCATAGAGATTGAAAAAAAAAAAAAAAAAAAAAAAAAACAGCGGGGATTTGCGCTATACAAATGCTATCCATTATAATTAGAGTTTGTTATTAATTTGTTTGTGTGTCTCCAACAGACCGGAAGTGTAGTTTTTTACTTTATTTTTTTTAAGCCAGTTTGTGGGAAAGTGTTCTTCGTTGATCCCAACAGAAGGGGCAAGGATTCCGTCATCAGGAGATCGACCGACTCGTTTCCATCAATGGATGCCAACATGGCTCCATTAAAGTGTGCATTTTTTGCTATAACTTAATTATTTTTAGGTGAATAGGATGTGTAATGTGTGAGAGAGAGGTGATGCAAGATAGAGATTCAGACAGACTATAAGAAAGGATGTTTTAAGGGGATTTTTGTACGGAGTTCAATGCCATGTAAATGGTAGTGGCCTCCGCAGAGGAAATAGAGGGTTCAGGATGGGATTAACTGTGTGTCGGGTATTTTTTAATTGTTTTTTTTGTGTGGATGTTTTTGTGTTTGTGCTTGCTTTGATGTGTGTGGTGAGCTGTAAGTCTTCTTTGCCTTGGTGAGGTGTCACGGAGGGAGGTTGGAAAAAGTTGTTCAACAGTGAAAAAAGGGGAGGGGGGGGGGGGGGCTATTTTTGCTATTGATTTTTTTATTTTTTTTAGGGGGGGGGGGGTCTAAGATTTTGAGGCCTTCAATCAAGGACCCTGGGGTATAGAAAGGTTTAATTAGTTTGT